AAAAAAAAACTAATTATCAACTATATATCAAAATTTTAATTTTAATGAAGTACTTAATAATAAACTCCTTAATCAATTAACCAATCAATCAAATTCAACTAATAAAAATCCCTAACTAATTATCCTTATTATTTGGACCCTTCAACATCTGAGATGGCAGCATATCCTGAAGAAGGCCATGATCCCTCGGCTGAGTCGAAGTAGACGAGGAGGAGGCCGAGGGGCGAAACGGTCTTTCCACCGGGAAAAGGGGCGAAAACCCTGCCGGATTATTATTGTTATTATTATTATGAAAATAGGGTTGTCGGAAGATGTCGTTGTTAGGCTGCGTCGTTTGGTGGAAACGGAAGGGATTGAAGGTTAGGGTCGGGTCCGAAAAGCGGGGCTCCGGGAGGGAAAAACCGAAGGCGCCACGTGGCGCGACGGGGCACGGGTGAGTGTGCGTGCCCTCGTAAGTTGTGACAACAATCGACGGATCCTCGGACGACCTCTCGACTCGTTTCTTCACTCCACATGATGTGCTTGTACAACGGTAGTAGCTCCTAATTGTATTGTATGTACACACACACAATAAGACATTTGAAATGTTTGCAAGAATTTGACAAAAACGGCCCATGATCATTTACACGAACAAGGAAAAAATGATGGGCTTTTTCCATTTTACTATATATGAAAAAAGCTAGATGCATAATTAGTGAATATGATTAATTAACTTCTCTCTAGCTAGAGAGAGAAATAGAGAGCTTTGTGTGAGAATATAATATACCTTGGGAAAGGGCTGTTTTTCACGGCCTTTTGGCCGTACTTTCGCCACCGATAGCCGTCGTCCAAGTTGTCGATATCGCTTTTGGTCATGAACGCGAATCGGGGTTCTCTTTGCCTCTTCTGGTTCTTCTTTTTCGGCTTCAGACTGGTTATAATAATCGAGCAAGAAAATGAAAGAAAAAGGAAGAAACGAAAAAAAAAGCACCGAATTAATTAATTACTCCTTTGAATTGATCGTAAATATTGAGAAACAGAAACATAAATCATGCAATAAAACGCCAAGATCCAGCAAAGAACAAAATCTCACCTTTTAAATTGATTGGCAGCAAAAAAAAAAGAAATAAATAAAAATAAAATTCAAAACTTCAAAAAAAAAA